CAATTTTCTTCCCACTGTGCAGTGACTCCCAGGAAACCTCCTGGCAGAGCCACCTGGTGTGGTGGCTCCTCTGAACACACTGCAGGGCCAATCTTCTTAAACAAACCATTATTGCCATAATTAACAGGGCTTGAAAGATGCCATTGAGGCAGAGCTTTCTGCAGAATATTGGCTGATAGGTGGGATAACAGCTGGTAGGAATTGGGATTAAGTGTTCCAGGGAGTGGGATGAGCATGAGGAGAGCCTGGGGATTGGGGCATATCTTCATACACAGACTCATGTGCACTCCAGTTGCACTGACATCACACTTTGTCTTACTTAGAGGTCTCCTCTCCCTGCTCAAGGTGTATTTTATGGGAACACCTCACCCTTGGATGTTTAAGGGTCAAATCAGTAGTGGGAACAGATAAATCTTGCATTCAATGTTGTGCAGGTGGCTGGAGCAACTCACAAACTAAAGTTGTACACTTGATGGTGGGAGATAAATGATCACAGATCTTCTGAATGGGTGGGTGGGTGGATTCTTCTGGCACAGCCCCCGTGCCCGGGAGTTCATCAGACACCTCCTCCTGCACTACTCTGTCCCAATGGAGGTATCACAAGCATAGAGAACATATCCTTTTTTTGCAGAGTCCTGGTGGTCATTTGGCTCCCCCTGAGCTGCTACTCCACACTGCCAGGCCATGCTGTGGCTCTCTGGAGGTGGCTCTGGGCCGTCTGTTCCATTTGCTTCCCTGCAGGGACAATTATCTGTGGCTTTCAGGAGCATGGTGTGAAGGGGCACACTCTGTTCCTTTTCCCTCTCCTACCTCTTTGGGACCAGTTGCCTTTTCATTTTTGCTTTATTGGATTATTAAAAGGCTGCCAGCTGGACGTAGGTAAGTGGAGGTTTTCTCTGCTGCAGTCTGCAGAGAGCAGGCATCAGTGTGGAGCCATTTAGTCCTGGCAACTGCTTCCTATTTTTCCAGATGATTCCAGCCGGCTCTTTTTGTGTTTAGCCTATTGTCAGATACAGTCACAAAGACTCAGGGTATTAATCCTGTCATCTGTTCAGTGTGTGGAGCTGCTGAGTGGGCTGTGCCGTGAACGAGGAGCTGGAGGTGCTGGGGGAGAGCGGGGTGGGGTGTGGGCGTGTTCGGAGCGCCTTCAGGATTCGTGCCTTTTTCCCTGGCGTTGGTGATTGAGTGTGAAAATTCCCTTCTGCATCCCCAGGGAGGGGAATGTGCAAGTGTAAAGGTCTGATGGTGTGAAGGCAGGTGGAACTGGGGCAGGCTGCAGTGGTGGAGGGGCACAGCCCTGCCCTGCAGCCGGAGTGGCTCCCAAGGAATGCTGAACCGTGCTCGGAGCAGACAGAGCTGTGCATTCAACACTTCGTGTTGAGACCAGAATATAACAAATGGACTCAACCAAACCAACAGCTCCCAAGGTCGTGGGTGCTGGATATACCAGGATTCATGGCCTTGCAGGCTGAGTCCCTCTTAGTGGCTGCCCTGGAGGAGCTGGATCCTGGCTGCATGTGCCGCTTCCTCCTGCGGCAGCTCTGGTTTAGCAGCATCTGTGAAACCCAAACTCCCCTGCTCTGTCTCTCACCAGAGCTGCAGCTCTGCACTGGGCTCCTCTGCCAGCAAACTGGGAGAACTCCCTGCTCTGAAGGACTTGTGTCTGCCCCATCCCGTGGTTACAGAGCAGTCTGTGGGATTGGCCTTTAACTGGGTCCAGGAGAGGGGAAAGGGTGAAGCCAATTCCCTCACCGCCGCCCAAAGCATTTGTTTTTTTTAAATAGCAATTTCACAGCTCTAATTTGGAACCAGCACAGCTGAGGGGACCATGATGAGTGTCTGTACATTGGGTGATAGGAACTTCTTAAACCAGAGCAGCTGCCAAAGCATCTCAACGTGGAGCTTCTGCTCTGGGAGGCGGCTTGGCAGGAGAGGATCCAGCCAAACTGCTGACTCCAGGCTCGTGCTTTCCCACCTGGATACTCAGATCAGCACTCCTTGGGCCCTGCAGCTTTGAGATGCTGAGCACCCCAAGGCAGGGAAGGTTTCTGGGTGTGAGTGTCGGGAGGAATGAGCTGTTGTGCCTCTCAAATCCCCGAAGCCTGTGTTGTTTTTTTGGAGGGGTTTGGTGCTGGCATTTACAGATGTGTTTCCAGCCAGACACTGAGCATTAGCAGTGCAGAGAAAAATATGTGCTTGGGCTTTCAGTGGGAAACAACAACAGCAAAAAAAGATCCTTTCTGTTTCTTCCAGCTGGAAAGTGATGCCAGGAGCTGTTATTTCAGAGAACAAGAAGTCTGGATTTCTCTGTGTGTGTGAGAGAGATGCACCTTTGAATGTGTATCAGGAAAATCTACCCAGAGAAAATGCAGAGCATAGAAAGTAGGTCTGGCTGTCACTTCAGTGAAAACCAAATGTGTTTTGGAAATGTCTTTGTGTGTTTCTTAAAAAAAACCAAACAAACAACAACAAAAACAAAGACAAGAACATCTGCTTGTGTATAAATATACCTGTTTTTTCTGGGTTTGTGCTTTCCATTACAGCATGTGCCAATTTTTCTGGAGTGCCAGAAGAGCAGGAACATCTCCAGAAAATACTCAGGTTACAACAGTTGGATAAAACCCTCCTGTGCCACCTTTGTAGGGATACAGTCAGCAGAGGGCAAATGCACTGGGAAACTTGTGGTTGCCAAACTTCTCCAGCTTCTTTTTATATGTTTGGCCAAATCCTCAGCTGGCTGGAGGGGGAATATTAAGACAGCAGCAGCCCTGAGAGCTGAGCAGTGGTTTGTTGAGAAGTTCTGCTTGGACATGGGATAATTAATGTGATTTTTTTTCCCAGTGCCCACCCTTCTGTCCCCTAAAGCACTGGCTTGAGCTGGAAGGAAGGGCACCTCTGAAGGGATGCTGCTGTGCCTGGGACTGGAATGGAACAATGTCCAGTGAGCCCCAGCACAGCTGATGGGGTTGGTTTTGTTTATTAAAGACAGGCCTTTGTGCAGCAGCAACGGAAAATCCTATTTCTGTACCAATAAAAACTTTGCTCCCATGGTTGTTGTTGTTGGCAAACTCAGTCCCTTTGGTGTTTATGGAAAAGTATTTACTGGGAAGGCCTGGATGGTTAGCAAGCTTCATCTGCTTTCCTTTTGCTTTGATGGCACACGTGTTGCTGTGGGACTTGGTGTGTCATCCCTGAATCTATGTTCCCAGGCTGGTATCCCTGTCCTGCAGCATGGACAGCCCCTGTCCCTCCTGTTCAACAATTCCCAGGGTGTTTTGGATCAGCCAGGCCAGGCCTAGTTGGACGTGGGGTGTGAGCCAGCTGACAATGGCAGTGACACAGAACTGCTGCAGAAGGATTAAAAGAAGCTTCTCTAATAAATGCAATTACCCAAACATGCTTGAGCCATGTTGTCCTGTTTAATTTCTTCCCAAGAAAAGAGGCATTCCTCAGGGCACTGCTTTTGTCTGGCTGACAGAGATATCCAAGTGCCTCGGGCATCCTCTCTGGATCCAGAGTGGCTCTTCTGTGCCCTGAGTGGCAACTAATATTGGGCTTCAGATCCCTCTGAAGAAGTTATCCCTCCAGGAGCGAGTGGATTCCTTGCCAGGCAGTGATTTTGTAGCTGGCAGAGCCCTTGCTGCCATGTAGACCTCACAGGCAGCTGGCACTGCTGGCCCTGGCTCCCTGCCCGGGTGCCCAGGGGCATTTTTGCCCACTGCTCTGTGGAAAGGATCCTTCTGCAATGGGGGATCTTCCAGGAGGGAGCTGTCATGGCTTTGGCTTTGTTTGTCCACGAGGCAGGAGCTTTGCAGGGGTGTATCCTTAGGGCTGGACTGATGGAAGGGGACACCCCAAGGAAGGCAGGGACCCCCCAGGGTTGTTTGATGTGGTGTGAGGTTGCTCTTCACTAAATAAACGACCAGTGTTTGAGTTAAAGCCTTGCACGTTTCTCCTTCCCCTCAAAACCCTGTGTCCCACCTTTTTAAGGGTATTTAGTCTGAAATCATCAGCTGAGTTTTTAAGAAAACCATTAAATATTCAGAAGTTCTTGGTGAGGTGCAAGATAAAGGATTAAATAGCCCAGAAAAGCTGCTGGTTGACTTTCCCAGCTCCTGCCCCTCAGTGCAGACATTCCCTGGGGTATCCCACAAGGAAACTTGTGTACAGACAACTGTGCTCTTGCTCCTAAGCACCAAATGTTTAATTCAGTGTGTGCTTGTCAAAGTGCATTAAAAATGCAGGTGGCACTTGCTGGTGTCAGGCAGTTTTTGTCAGCTAGGCACCGTCACAGGGAGATGTCACCGAGGTGGCACAGTGGAATCTGCTGGCTCTGGGAATGCCAGGAACTCCAGGAACACAGTCCTCAAGATCTCCTGGACATCAGTGGGAATGGGAGGCTTGCAGACACCTCAGCAAGGGTGAGGTCTTTTGTAGAGCCCCTGGAGCAGAGGTTGTGTTTGTGTTTGTGTGCACAAACAGACCCCAACCTCCCCGCTGGGCTCAGCCCCTGTCCCTGCAGCTTTCACGTGGTGGTTCAGTTGTAACAGTGGAGTGGGAAACCTCTGTGAGCACCTTGTTTTTAGAAAAGGGATTCAAAGCAACATTTGGCAGCCTCTGGGTGACGTTGGGGAGCGGCGTGAAGTTCATAAACAGGAGTGGAAAAGGGTGAAAAGAGACATTGCTGGGATAGAAAAAACAACTCAACCCTTGAGCAGCACATTCCTGTGTGGAAACACTGGTGATTCCAGGTGGTTCCCAGTGGTTTCCCACCTGTGGAAGGGGCAGGGGTTAGAGCTGAGGCAACTGCTCCCTTCCCATCTGCAGGACGAAACCTCTGCTCCTCCATGCTCATCTCCCAACATTTCTCCATGTGCTCTTTCCCAAGGGCCTGGATCAGAGTTTCCATGACCACCACTGATGCAGCCATGGAGGGCAGGGCCTGCTTGGGCCTCTTTTCTCTCCCCTAGCCGACTGAACTTTGTTTTCTTGCCTTTCAGTCCTTCCAAGGAAGCCAAGGACGTGCTTATCTCTTCAATTCCGTGTGAGTACCGTGCACACAGCACCTGCAGCCCGGGGTGGATGGGAGAAAACAAAGGGATAGTTTCCCTTAGAAAACCTCTGCCTGGCACTTGGGAGCTTGGTGGAAACATTTGGAGAGAGAGAGGCAGGAAGTAGCACTGATTCATGTTTGATTCCTGGTGAGGTTGCAGAGGAGCAGCGAGGAAAAGGTGATTTTTTTTTTTTCATCATCAGATTGAGAAATAAGAGCTCGTGGATGAGTCACTCTCTGCTCCAAGGATGTAGTTGGACCAAAGAGCCAGAATTTTGTAAATGTAGAGATAAATGATCTCTAAATATGCACTTTTTAGAGCTAACATAAAACCCAAGTATAATTTCCCGGCGACTGAAAATAGTTTGGGTGAGGTCACTGCCGGGATGTCTTTCCCGAGAACTGCTGATTTCAGTTCCATTTTTCAATTTTCCATTCGGGGAAAGCAAAAGCACCATTTTATCAATTTTGAAAATGAAAATCTTTCTCAAACGCTTAATTAGCACGAGTGCCTGGAGTGTTATTAATCTTCTGCTCGGAGCTTCTCGAATAAGAAAAAAAAAATCTCATTTTTACCTTTGGAACTGCGAGAGAAACCTTCAGGGCCGCTCGTTGTCCTGAACCTCCTGCTTGATGTTTTTATGGACTGCAGTGAATCGTTGTCAGCTTTGCTGGAGGGGGTTTTGGTGTGGAAAAGCACTAATAGGGAGCATCTCTTGCTTTCCCCCCCAGAGTTAATGTGGGCTGTGGCCCTGCAGAGGAGCGGGTCTTATTAACGGGATTACATGCGGTGGCCGATATTTACTGTGAAAACTGCAAAACCACACTGGGGTGGAAATATGTGAGTACCAGTGTCCTTTGTTTTGCCTGGGGGACAGCTTTGCTCCGGCCCTTTCCGAAAGGTGTTTGTGTCATGTCATGGAAAGACCATTAACTTGGGCACATCCATGTCTTTTTTATGTTTTCCCTCCTGCCTTGTGTCTGGTGCATCCCTTCAGAGCAGCTCTTTGTGCTGAATGGAATTTTTTAATTAAGAATTATTAAGAATGTATACATTTATGGGCCTGGTTTTGATGGGTGTCTCTCAGGGCTACTTACCATAAACGAGGGTAAATGTGGTTCCTGCTGTCTTTTTTTTCCCTAGATGTTATCAGAGTAATAGAATGCTCCATTAATCCCATGTCCTTCCCACTGGAAATGCTATTGAACACGGGTTTATCCGTTTGCTGCCTCCCTCCTGCTCTTCATAAATTCAATTAGTTTCAAATAAAGGCTTGTGTTACATCCTAATTTCTGCTCCTGCAGGCACACACCACACTGGTTTGTCCAAATGTTGTGACCAGTGTCTGAACAAACCCCATTTTGTATCCGTGGCCTCTGGACAGAAATATTTTTTACTAAATCAGTTGAAAGGCTGTGACCAGGAAAACATCAAAAATTGATGTGGGTGGAATCCATGCAGAAACACGGCATGGATCCCACAGATGGAGCAGGACACTAAGTACATCATCTGAGTTCGTGGTAAACAAACCCCAGCATTCCATAACCAGCAGTGAGCCCAGGCCTCTCCAGCAGGGAATGACCTTTCAGGTGAGTTACAGGCAGCAAGGAGAGCACCTGAGCAGAGCTGAGCTGAAGTGGAGGGTGCAGCCTCCATAACTGAGTCCCTCCTGGTCAGGGCCATCAGGGATCCCAGGGATTTCCCTCTCAGTTGTGTGGTGTGGAGGCACCGTGTGTTTCCATGGCTGTAACCACGGATCTGAGCAGAGCTGGTCCTTCTCCTGCTCCTCCATCTCCACAGGAAGTTCACCATAACCCATCCCATTCCCAGTGTTGGTGGTTTTACAGTGTGTTCCATCAGAGAACCTCTGCATTCTCCACCAACTAATAAATTCTCCCTGGAGAGAGGTGGGTTTTATCACCAGTGATTCCTAAATCCTTGTTTAGTTCCATTGGCCTACAGAAATCTGCACCTTACAGGGTGCCAGTCCTTTTTTCCCAGCCTATAGACAGCCAGAAGCAGGATTTAAGATTCTTCCCACATCATTTTCCTGAAAGCCAAGGAGCACCTTGCAGTTTTACTCCGTAGACAAGGCCAAGACTCACACCAGCATTCCCAGCTCTGATCCATAACTCTGATTTACCTTCACCTCATTTTTTCTCCTTTTTTTTTTTTTCTGTTTTGTTTTGTTTCAGGAACACGCTTTTGAAAGCAGCCAGAAGTATAAAGAAGGCAAATACATCATTGAACTAGCTCACATGATCAAGGATAATGGCTGGGATTGAGTGGGAGAGCCCAGCCCTAGCAGCGTGTAAGAGAATGCCATCCAACCGAACATTATATCCAAGAGTGAGAGAGTGACTGAACGCTTGGTTCCATGCATTTAGAGGCTCTGCAACCCGGGAGCATCTTCACACCCTTCTCCATCTTTATTGGTGACTGGCCTCTAAATTTCTGTCTCTCTGTCTCTTTGCTTTGTATCTGTTTGTGAGTTGACCCTGGCTGCTTCTCTCTCTGTCCTGGCTCAGAGAACGCCCCGAATGCCGAAGCCATTCCATGTGCCCAGTGCTGGAGGACGTGCTGACGGTGGCTCTGGGGTGGCATTTGTACCAGGAGAGCTCTCGGTGCGGGGGGAGGACCCGAGGTTTGGGCAGGAGGAGGTGAGAGGGGGGTGGGCCCCAAGGGAATCATCCGAGGTTGACCCTGCGCTTCTCCTCTCAGTGCTGGTTAAGCAAGGCTTGAAACGTCTCCTTGTCTCGGAGGACAGACAAAATACCTCACCCTCCCCATCCCAACCCACCGCTCCGGCCCCGGCTGGCTGAGCACGAGTTCCCCCCACAAGCCAGTTGCAATCTGTGTCGTGTTTGCTGTTTATGAAGTTGTTGTTTGAGGGGGCAGGGCCTGAGGGCTGCAGAGGTTCCCTCTGCCTCTCCTTGTTCTCGCTGCTGCAGGGTAGGGAGGGCCGAACACCCCAGCAGAGCATGGCTGCAGAAACCAAATCCTGACTCCTGGGCCCTTCAGAGAGGAGGGGAAAACCACTTAAGGCACAAGGAGGCTGGAGCTGCAGCTTAGAAGATATGACAGGGGTGGGAAAAAAGGCATATGTGAGGCAAGAAAGGAAATTGCCTAGAGGAGGATGGGGACAGACTTAGTAACAGAGGGTACCCCTTGATTTCCCGGCCTCCCCTGAGCACCCCTGGGGGTGTTTCACCAATCCTTCACAAGTGCAAGTAGGAAAATGCTGTTACAGGATCTTTTCCTTAAATCCCAGGCCCCAGCCAACGTCTCCCCTGAGGGAGCCTGGCAGAGAAATGGGGCGAGAGTGGGGAGAGGAGGGAGCAGAGGAGCTGGTGGTTGAATTGCACAGGTGGATATTTCAAGCCATGAGGTATCCCCCCAAAACCTTCCCCCCGCCTTTTCCCACTCCCAGAAGCCTGCTGCAGGCACGGGGGAGGGAAATGGGATAGAAAAAACTTAATAATCTTCCCCCTACCCCTGAAATTACGCCTGGGAGTTTAAAGCAAGGGGGGAGATGTGGGCAGCAAAACTGCAAGGGGATAAGTCCCTCCCATTTTAATTTTTCCATTGTGATTCCTGAGGACCTTCCTGAGGTGGATGGAAGGGAAGGGGCGTCGTGTGTGAGAGGGAAAGGCATAAATGACAATGTGAAGTTTGCTCTGCAACAGTCCAGCCAGTAACTGGTGCATAACTCAAGACCATTGAACTGAATTAGTTTTATCTCTCTGAGTGAATTTTCTTTTTGTTTGTGGAATTCTTTCAAGTAGGTTAATCCATGGGGGGGGGGGAGAAATCTTTCTTAATCCAGAAGGAAAGAGTATTGTGCAGGGGATTGTGACTCCTTATGAAACGGGAGCTTTGGAGCTGTAATCTGGTGTTGCTGGATTCCACCCCGGAGAGGCTCTGAGGGGATCAGGCCTGGGGGGCTGCTGGGCCAGAGTCCTTTGGTGTTAAAAAATTGGCAGGGAATGTGAACAGAGACGCCCCTGAGGGATCAGGGGGGATCTGAGTGTTGGGTCCTTGTGCTGAAACCCAAACCTGATGAAGCTCAGGCTGTTTTTTTCTCTCAAACTTCTGGTTTTGATGATCCTGGAGAGGGAAGGGAGGTGGGGGCTGGTCCCAGTGGAGTTGGATCAGTTTGGGACCAATCTGAGGTGGCTTCTGCCCTCCCCCTTCTCCTGTGGCTGTGTAACAGTTGCTTCAGCTTTGGTTTCTGGTTGTGTCTGCTTCCATCATCCACGTTCCCCTCAGTGATAAAAACCTACTAGAAATCAAAAATTCCACAGTGCCCACTGTCTTGTTCACCATGGCACTGAGCTGGTCCCATTTCCCTGTCCTTTGCTTGGGGATCCATGACAATTTATTGGGTTTTGAGCAGTGGGAGATAATTTCTGTTCTTCAAGGAACTCTTGAGTCTCCTCAGATACAGAGCCTTCAAAGGGGTCTGGTTGGAGCTGGGAGAAGTGAGGGATAATCCCAAATCCCATGGGTTTGAGGAGAGCACACAGGGGCTCATCTTTTGATGTTGGTATTTGGAGTGACTGCTGATAAAAACTGATATAAAAGGCAGGGCTGTGTAGAGAACTGCTCTGAGAAATAAGAACTACAGAGAGCTGGTTTTATCTGTATATTTGGGACTAGAAAGGACAGTGATCCATCAGATGGGACTGTTTTTAACTGGTCACAGGTGTCAGGCTTTTAATGGCAGCCAGCCTAAGCTTGAATATGAGATCTTAATCTGCTTTTAATTGGTTTTGTCCCTCCAGCATCCGCAGTCACCCACTGCTGGGTGGGAAACACCCACTGCTGGGAGTGTGACAGGAACAAACCTGGGTGGCTGTGACTGTCCCCAACACCTCGACAGTTCCCTGGGGGGAGGGTACAGTGCTCTGCCCAGGGAGACAAGGAGAAAGGGGCTGGTGTTTAGTGCCCAGTAAACCTGAAGGGCTTTAGTCCAGTCCTGACTCAGCTGTTGGGAGCTGGGAGCAGGGGTGGGATCCGTGCTGGGGCTGCCACGGCTTCACCTGGAAGTGTGGATGGACCCAGAGCACAACCAAAGAGCCTCAGTCACCACCCCCTGCTCCTGGGGGGGCCCATCCCTGAGGGAATGGAGCCAGGAGAACCAGCTGGGAGATGTGGCCCATGGAAAAACCTCCTTGTCCAGGCAGTGCTGCTTCCCATGGGTGACATTCCTTGGGGAAACACGGGCAGCAGTGGGTTTTCCTTCTCTTTTGATGTGGCAACCTCGTGTCTGGCAAGCTGTGAGTTTACACACCCCCACCCCCACCCCATCTACCCCAAAGCTCAGACTTGAGTTCAAAAGTTTAAAACTTGAGTTTAAAAGTTTAAAACTTGAGTTTAAAAGTTTTAAAACTTAAGTTTAAAACTTAAGTTTTAAATTGTTTTCTCCTCTGGTGGATTATCTGGCATGAAATCCCCATCCCTGTAATAAATATTCAGATGATAATATATACAAAGCAAAAAAAAAAAAAAAACCAACCCAGACGTTATCTTGTGAAATATACTTTTGTAAATAATATTTAATTTAAAAAAAAAAATAATAATATATTTGGTGCTGTTTTCTCAGAGCCCCTCCCTGAGAGCACTTTTCTGTTGTTTATAAATGATACTGTTTCCTTCTGTATTTGTTGGAAAATATGTTTAAAGGGAACCAAAACTCATCATCCGCGTTGTCCGCTGAAGGTGCAGGCGTGGCTGGGTTAGGACAGACCCCAAGGTGGGATGAGTGGGATGGGAGGAAGCTGGAACACCTTCCCAAGGAGATCAGGTGTGTAGGATCCAGGCCTGGAATTTTCTCTTGCACCAGTTTTGGCTGGAGTGAAGTAGATCTGGAGACAGGATTGAACATGAGCTGCAGCCCCCAAGTTGTTGGTGGCTCAGGGGCAGCAGGAAGGGAGGGTGGAGGTTTTTAACTAGTCCTTGTTTTTAAACTAAACCACAAACCTCTGGACATGGATCCTGGTTTTCTTTTTGAGGTTTATTTTTATTTGTTGTTGTTGTTTGTATTTTTTTTTTTTTTAAACCAGGCTGCTACATAACAAATTAGAGTAAAAGTTTACCTCTCTGGCAGTAAAGTTCATTTATTTCGTTCTCCTTTCTGTCTCTTATCTCCCCTGTTCTCCCCCTTCTTTGTTTTTAATTCATTGGGTCTCTTGTTTATCCCGAAGTGGACCAACAGCACAAACCACTGGACTGTGTTTTGCTGAGCAAGGAGCAGTTTTCAGTGCTCAGTAACTGTTGCACGCTCTTTAATTCTCCAGTTTTGGTGCACACGATTTAAAAACACGCAGGAAAAAAAAGCAAACGAACCGACCCTGTTGCTCTCGTGAGGATCGAGTGAGGATTTTCTCTGTATGCATTTCTCTAACTGGTCTGTGAGAGTGTGTGGATCATGCATTTCACTGCACTTCCTTGTTTTCGGGAGGAGCGTCGTGTTCCCGTGGGATCCAGCTGTGGGATGAGCAGGTTGGAGACACCCCGAGCTCAGCTCAGTGGGAAGCAGCTCTTCCCACCAGGTGAGAGGCCTCAGTGCTCAGAAACAATCAGGTTAGACAGGGATTTTTTTTATTTTTTTTTCTGGCAGAATCCTGTTTAAAAAAGAATAAGCAGAAGAGGGAAAACAAAATCATCTTGAATTCAGAAAAAAAAAAATAAAATAAATCAACTTATTTAAAAACAAGCAGAATGGCATTGGGTAAGGTACAACCACCAGTAAGCTGTTCTCATCGTTCCAACTGTGTGTATCCTTCGTTTTGTTGTCCATAAGGAAATGGGAATGCTTTTCCCCACTGACAAAACTAAGGACAATTATTTCCAATACCAGCCTGTCTATGGATGCTCTTGTGTTTACAAATTGTGTATACTTTTATTTCTTTGATCTTATTTTAAATTTTTTTTTTTTTTGGTGTATTCTTTCAGGTCATTTGCTTCAGTCATAAATGCAGTTGTTTGTTTTCAAATGATTGGTTTTCACCTTTTCCTGTGTTTGTACATTGTATATAGTTCTTCAGTATTAGAGGGAGGCGTATTGTTTGTCATATTTACAATATGTGTTGGTGCTCATTTGAGAAAATAAAATTTTCAAGTACTAAAGCTGCTGGTCCGTGTTCCTGCTTTCACCTCGTGTGCTGTGTGCAAACCACTGAAATCCCAGAGCTGCTCCCAGCTGGGATCCAGCCTTTCCAATTCCTGGAGCTTTCACCTCGAAACCACGTGTGGTCGGGCTGAAAGCGGTGCTTTATTTGGGATTTTTTGGGATGAGCTGATGCAATCCCTCTTCATCCAACTGAGGACAGCTGGGACCTGTCCTGGTGCCCTGTGCCAGTGCCCAGCAGTGCTGTGAGTGCCCTTAATTCCACCGTGTGTCTGAAAAAGCAACTTAACCCTCTTTGGAGAGGCCGGGGCCGGGCCCTGAACTCAGAGTGAGCT